ATATTTGGGGAAAATGCTGGACAACAATGTGTTGCAATGAGTCTATGTGCATAATATATAATGAAATGAAAGGAATACAAACGTCTAATGATTTAAAACAAATAATGCACATTGGAAATGAACTCTACAACAATTTATCACAATTAGCACGACAATCATTCTTAATGTTAACAGAATTGCCTACAATGCTTACAGTACTAGATGAAAATTATCGACTAGACTATAGTGTAAGCTACACTGGTAATGTACATGGTGATATTAGTATAGATGGATATCAATATTGTATGGGACTAAAAAGAGCTATTGAGTCATTGATATCACAACAGTACAGATCATTTATCTTAATTGTTGGTTGTATAGGGGTTGCCATTATTTACTGTCCTGATACTGGTCATTATAAGATATTTGACTTGCATGCTAGAGACATATATGGTAACAGTCATCCACAAGGGACTTGTGTGCTATTGCATGTATTGTCTACAAATAATTTGGTGCAGTATTTTCAAAGTTTACATGGACTTACAGAAACATATGAATTAAAAGGCATAAAAATTGCTACCGCTCCTATAGCTATAGCAAACAATCAAACAGGTGATAAAAACAATACACCACAATTACAAGTGAATGATACGAGTAGGTGAATAGAAAATTGCTTAGTCCCCCGAATCAAAAAAACTAGAAGAAGCCCATGTAAACGATCAGTGATCGTCTAGTTTGTTATTAAATTGAAAAGGTGTTTTTCCAAATTGTGACATTTTGGACAACAAAGATTTTGTTTGAACTGATAATGTTTCAAACATAAATAAAATCATCTGCTAGACTTTCACAAATTTTACCGTGCCATGCATGTCCGCCTATTTTTGATGTTTTTCATTTTTTGTATTCAATTTTGATTTTAGTCTTTCTCACTCTCTCTGTCTCCCTTTAGTGTTCGAATTTTACCTTAGCTTCATTCTAATTTTTTATTGTCAGTACAAAGAGTCCAGCTTCTTCCTCAGAAACCTCCCTAAGGAATCGCAGGAAGTTACCTTCATCAGATCGACGAGGAACATAAAATATCTATCCCATCTTTCTGGACCTTTTTTTAAAAAAATAGCTATATAGATATTATGTAATTATTTTTATTTTTTTTCGTCTACTCGTTTCTCATTATTCACGATGATTCTTCTTGGCCAGTTGTATGTTTTACCATATATATTGTCTTTTCACTGACACGTCTTCGATAATTGAAATTATGTCTCCGTGTGGTTATTAATAATGCTGGTTTCACACAGTATTAATCAATTAGAGGCGGCCTCTCTATAAACGTTGTTTCTAAGGAAAATGTCAGGCAATGTACTTACAGGTGATTTTTTGAAAGAAAGGAAGTGAATAAAGAAAATAAAGGATATCAGTTCGATTGTGAGATTGTCAATGACGATTAGCTCCTCTTGAGGCCCAAAGAACCGCGGTAGAATTCCTTTCATAAAAATGAGTTGATTCGGCGACTATCCTACAAAATTCAACTGGTTAAAGTACTGCTGTTGTCAATGGGTTTGAGTACAAAAAAATATATTTGGAAAGAAAAACTTCAAAAGAGTGCAACATCAAAATATCTGAACTAATCATAAATTGAACAAAAATTAGCACCTTCAACGTTTATAAGTCTCCAGGCTGAAGATCTCAGCTTGCATTAGGCTGCAGGTTGTGCTATCATTAAAAAAAATTCAATGCATTGGCAGAATTCAAATGCATTTGAAATTGCAAATAAATCAGTTTATCATATAATTGTTTATGAAATACCTATATTTCTCCTTTGCGTAAAGTTGATATTTTCACTACGTAGAGTGAAAATAGCACATGGCAAGGTTTCTCTATATAGTGGAAGTAAGAAAAAAGCTATTTTACGGCATAATTTACTTTCATATGTAATTAATGATAAACAGAATATTACATGAGCGCTTGGATATACGAATTTTATCTTTTCGTGTTGAAAATCTCTTACTCGTGAGAGATCTTTTCAACACCCGAAGATAAAATCCGTATCTTCGCGCGCTCATGTAATATCCTCTCTAATCATAACACTAATTACTGGTGTCTAGTATTCAAATGAGCAGTGAAGGGAATAGCCTTGAAAAGCAGATCTTTTCAGACGACTTATACTTAGTTTGGTTGGTGAAATGTTTTATCATCATCTGCTGATATTTCTGTTTGTAATTTGTTGGGAAGAACAATCTTTAGTCATCGGAGATAAAAGTGAGTAACCATTGTGCCCAATTGTTTGAGAAAATTCTTGACTATCCGTCAACAAAATTCACATTATGAATTTTTAAAGTTGTACTACAGCTGTTTTGTTTAAAAGAATTAATCGGGGAACAGACTGAAAACATCAGCAGTTGATTGTATATACTATCATTTAAGCACTGGTGTCTCTATTATTGGAATGGGCAGAGGGAAAAGACTTGAATAGCAGACTAACATAGATCTTTCAGACGGTTTACAGTTAAAATGTTTTATCATCGATTTGCATTTCTGCTTGTAACTGGTTTATCAAGGCAATCTTCAGTCGTCGGAGATACAGGTAAGCGAATGCTTGACACGCATTAATTTCGCACGCGCATTTATAACAATCTTTTGAATCGTGGCACAGCATGCAAACATTATCGATCCAAATTTTTACTCGATCCGAAAATGTGAGCGGGTAACGTCATTTTGCGCAACACAATATGATGGGTGCTCTCGCATTTTATGATTTTTATGTTATAAACAATCCCTAAAATGCACACACTCTACATAATCCCCCAAAATAGTTTCGAAGATAGATATTTGAAGGCAAAATTTCGACGTCTCAACAAATATTTGTTGTTGTTTCTATTTTCGATCAGAGTATGTTTTTCCTGAGACGGAAGGAAGAACGGAAGGAAACGCGCATACGCGAGAGAACCCTGAAAAATGGACTAGATAGTTAACCATTTTTTTCTTTGCTAGCTATGGTGCTCCACTGGAGCTGCGCTACTAAACAATATGTTACGATAACATTCGAAAATGAACGCGAACTTCGAAATTGATTACTGGCACTTTATAATGTTTGTAATTATAGGTGACCTAAAAAGGATCATTCGACTTATCCTCCTGCCGTCTCTTACAAGCAAACAAGAGGAATTCCTCGCTTAATAATAACTTAGAGTGAAGAATGTCCCTAAATGATTATTGTTAACTCGCACTGAGAAAAGTCCTCTTTTTTGTTCCCTTTCACACATAAATCACCTCTCTGTCCTCAGTCTGCAAAGAAAAAAAACAGAATCAAACTTTGAGATTTTTCTGCAATTATTTAACGGAAATAAGAAAAAAAATAGCACAGCGCGAGGACTACATATGCTATTATGCTTAGTGCCCGAGAAAATGGTCTCGCTGTGCCGATACGTACAGGTTTTTGACTATTAGGTCTATTAGGCCCGTTTCAGACGTTGATCTTTTGCCCCGTCTATCTAATTGCTTCATGCACTTCTTGACTGAGAAGTTTTCAGTCTACATCGATTGATATTTACAGATTATAGTAAGTTCGTCCAACTGAACAAAATGTACTATGTCAATAAATTCAGAGTGCAAAATGCTCATAAACTAAGCTCCACCAATTAGATTACTGCCTCGCAAAAGATCGACGTATGAAACGGGCCTAAAAGTTCACTTTACGCCAGTAAATAGGCCAACACGTAACGATAAACAGCCTTTTAATAATGTTGAATGAATAAATATGGGATAAATATACAAGATGGCCGACTAACAACAACCCATGCGTGCGCATGATCAGACAACTGTCCGAAGATCTATAGTCTGCTGGCACTATAATGATCCTTTTTAGATTTAGCTGCGAAAAGGTCTAATGGGCTGAAAAAAGTTATTTTATAAAACCAATAAAACCTTTTTCCTGTGTTTACATAGCAACAACCTATCTATTACCAACTAGTCAACTATCAAAGTCAATGGCTGACATCATTCTCTTATAATTGTTTCAGCGGAAACTTTGCCCATTACTATACAAGATGGCTGGTATAAAGAGAAACTTGCAGGTGATATGTTAGGAGTGAGTATTCTGTCAAAAAACATTCATATCTTACATTACACAGTGTTTTCTTGGAATGTACTTTTAACCTGATCATCCATGAGCTCAAAAATCTACCGATTTTTCTCACATTTAATTAACATCTAAAATTCTTAATATACTGATCGTCAGCATTCTATGTTTAGCAAATTCACCGGAAAAATGGCGCACTTTAAAGGTTGTAAAGTTGATGTAAATATGATGTAAGTCCCAAAATTCTGGTAACTTTGATTTAAATGATTTCCATTCAATTTACAGAATTTTGGACACTTACATAATATTTACATCAAATTTACATCCTTTAAAGTACGCGATGTTTTCCAGTGTTTCCACGAAAATCCGTCGACTGAGACCGTCACTACAAAGCCGATTCGAAAACGCGTTTTAAAAACATATTCCTTTCGACAATCACCGTTCGCTGTTCCTCCCTTCAACTTTTTTTGAAATACACCTAATTGAACTGAAACGTAGTCGTGTTCGAAATTGGGATTACATTTGCATATACGATGTACACTAATCAAGTAGAGCTAGTAAGATTAACAGCATGCTAGTCTTTTATGCTGGAGAGCTGTTTGTTATGAAATTAGCCAAATTGGTTGTCTTCCAAAGTACCCTTTCGGTCTTGGCTTCTATGATTTGACCTTTTTGGACCCGGACACTCGTATCGGAACTTTTTCCATACTATGACACAACAGCATTTGATGCGTATTTGGACAATTTTTGGATCTGGATTAAACAATTTCACGAAAATCTCAATACTCGTATGGACGGGCCTTAAATAGTTGTTAAATTCTTTCTTTTTTTTTTTTACTGTTTTATTTGTACAATATGCGAGCTTTAGCTCAAATTATTACCAAAACATAATTTGCATGTACCTGAGGCATGTAAATAGAAAAAGTTTAACTCACTGTTGAAATGGGATCCTGTTGTGCATTTGTTGAGTTTGTTTTTCTTGTTGTTTATTTCAGTTTTTCTTTAGCTCAGGGAAGTACTTAGTATGTGATACTACAGAAAAGCAGGAACCAAAATCCTGGTTAAGAACTGACTTCATTGAATTCAATGGAGCTAAACGCGTATTCATTTACATTAGTTACACCATCAGAAAATGTAAATCTATCTCTAGATATTGCAAAGAACATTTTAAACTTTACGCGGCACAAACAAGCAAGTCTGCATTAAGTCCTAAACCTCCTAATGGATTTGAGGAAATTGCAATTGCTCAGCCTCAAAACCTCAAAGATGGAGTACCATATGAAAGGGACGTCATTGTGTTGAATGCAACAATCAAAGCAAAGATGGGTGGATTTTATCTGGCTTTCTTGGATCAAGGTGTATGTCTCACATTGTACAGTATCAAAGTAATGTTTTACTTCTGTCCTGAATATTATCCTGATTTAGTCAAGTTTCCAAGAACAATATCTCCAGCTGAAGACATTGTAGGATCTCAGGGTCAAGTTCATGGATCTTGCTCTGATTCAAATGCTAAAAGTACAAGTAAATTACTGGGTGTTTGCACAACCAAAGGAGTGTGGAAGACTAATGCCAGTTGTCTGTGCAAACCAGGATATGAATATTTGACTCATCCCAGACGACGATGCAAAGGTAATTATGTTTGACTTGTAATTAGTAATTATTAATAAGAGTCTCTGAGTCATGTACTATGTTGTTGCGCAGTAAAAGCAGAGTTAGTAGAGGAGACTGGTTAGGAGACCCGGCGAACTTCTAAGGGCCATGTTATTGTTATGGTTTTTGCTCGGTCACGTGACTGTGACCGTGCACACAACAGACGATGATAGTATATATATATAACAAACGTGATAGTATATATATATATTTATTATTCTACTAACTCTGGTAAAAGCAAATTTACTCTGGAATATCTGAAACATCAACTTTCTATCCTTTAACTATGAATCATTTACGCTTTTGCTTGTAACACAAATTGTTTCATGAGAAAATTGATGCAACACACACACCCTTTTCTCAGTTCAATTCACCTTGGTTGTAAATGATTAGTGTTGATCATTATGTGATTTAGTTTGTGGGTTTGACCAGTATAAGAGTTCTCTCGACAACAGCAGGTGCAAGACATGCCCTGTTGGTTCATACCCATTTGCCCAGAAGACAGAGTGTAGATGTAATTCAGGATTTTTTAGAATTAATGAAAAGGACAATGAGCCATGTTATGGTGAGTGAAACAGTAATCTATTTAAAGCAGTTTTTGTGAGAGCAGGAAACCCGACTTGGCGCGACCAAAAGAAAGAAAAGTGCTTTTGATCAATACAAATGATTAACGTACTCAAACTTCGGAGATATTTGAATAAAAAACATTGAACGCATCGAGGCGATAAATCAATTACTAATTATCCGAATCCGAACATCCCGACATATAGAGAATCATAAACCGCCAATACAGGCGATATAAGAAGTGATATCTTAATTAGCCAATCAGAAAACAGCTTAGTTCAGCCATCATCAGGGTTATGGCTTCCCGACAAGCGCCACCTTGAAAGGAGTCGGTCTAGAAGCCCTGGAGACGAGGCTGATCTCTGATAAAGACATAACATTTCAAGGTCCCAAGTCTGGTTTCCCTCTATCAATATGACTAATTTCGATTTCTCAGCAGTTTTTTTTATATAAATAAATGTAATATTACGCATATTTACAAGACTCTTACAGCATTATGGTAAGAAGAAAAGAAAAGTCATTCCCATGTTGTAGTTTTTGAATAATTCTTCATTTTTAAGCGATTGCAAATGGTCCTAAATTTGTCAATGCAGCAACGCATCTTGATTATATCTTCTACACCACATTTTTTTCTCGCAATATTTCCGTACACCATTCTAACTTAACGGATTTGTAGCTCCATCAGGTCCCGTTACTCTCGATGAGAAGAAAGGATCCTATTCCAAAACCACCATTGTGCCGGCGAGCGGGATTGGAGGAACGCTAGGTTTGTTATTTTTAATTACTCTGTTGGTGCTAGTGCTTCTTGGTGAATCGTCGACAGAAGACTCTTACGAATAACAGCATTATGGTGAAAAAGAAAAGAAAAGTCATTCCCATGTTGTAGTTTTTGAATAATTCTTCATTTTTAAGCGATTGCAAATGGTCCTAAATTTGTCAATGCAGCAACGCATCTTGATTATATCTTCTACACCACATTYTTTTCTCGCAATATTTCCGTACACCATTCTAACTTAACGGATTTGTAGCTCCATCAGGTCCCGTTACTCTCGATGAGAAGAAAGGATCCTATTCCAAAACCACCATTGTTGCGAGCGGGATTGGAGGAACGCTAGGTTTGTTATTTGTAATTGCTCTGTTGGTGTGCTACCTGGTGAATCGTCGACAGAAAAAGTTACTGAAGATGCAATACAAGGCGATGAAATATCTCAGAGGTGATGAAGATTCCAAGGTATATCTGTAATGACGTGTCGTGGTTTCCTACGCTTCTCTCGTGTTCTCCCCACATCCCGCGTGTTTGTATCAGAGTATAATACACGGAAAACTGTTTTTTATTCCTTAAATCTTTTAATTTAGACTACTGATATTTCTTTGTTTCTTATCCTTTTCCTTGTTATTTCCCATTTCCCATTTAAAGAGTGCTGCATAGATTTTGAGATCGCTTGTAATCGTAAGACGTTTGGACCGCAAACTGCTGACCTACAAATGTTTTCCATAGTCTACTAGACATGACTGTTGTTTTCATTCCATAATTCATTAAACAGTTTGACCCAAACCGCTCTATTCTTGAGCAGTGTGAAGAATTGCCTTACGATGCTGACTGGGAGTTTCCTGTCAAAAGACTAATTCTCCAGGGGGTCATTGGTTCGGGGGCGTTTGGTCAAGTCATGAAAGCCGAAGCCGTTGGGATTTTGTCGTTCAGTGCTGGTGACAAGAAGTCGATAGCATTAAAAAGACGATTGAAATTGCGTAGGAGATTAATGTTCAATCACATTTTTCAAGATTCTGCAGGAAATGACTGCACTAGAACGACTGTCGCCGTCAAGATGCTTAAAGGTATGACTAACAATGAATGATAATATGTGAATGGCAATAACAGAGACAATTGCAACTATGACAAATACAATGGCAACCGCAATCTGATCGCAAAGTTCAGATCAATGTCAAAGACACTGAAGCAGACAAATACATTTCTGTTACAGTAATGCCAATTGAGATTATGTAATGTTATGTTTTAAACTTCAGCGGAGGCAAACGAGAGTGATTACAAAGACCTCGCGATAGAGCTGAAAATAATGATACACCTCGGAGAACACAGTAACATCATCAACCTTCTTGGCGCATGTACTCGAAGTGAGCAGCTCATGGTCATCATGGAGTTTGCGCCTCATGGAAACTTGTTGAACTTTCTGCGAAGTCGCCGTGAGATCTACGAGGCCACGTGGCGTAAGACGGCTAATAACCCCGATGCTGAATTCACATTAGCAGATTTAGTCATGTTCTCGTATCAGATCGCTAGGGGAATGGATTTCTTGTCCTCAAAAAAGGTAAAATTGAAGCAACTGAACTGAAATACGCGGTTCTGGTGAAATAGAAATGGAAATTTTGTCGGTGAATTCAAACTGACGGTCTATTCGAAAATCGGTAAAGATAGGTTAAGATTATACCGAATGTTCAAATTTGAGAATCTTAGAAAGAAACGTAGAGTGTGTTCATTATTTACGGTTTATGATAAAAGTTGCAGTATATGCGAGAAAACATTTTAATCATCTTGGAGTCAATCTGACACTGAATGAAGTCAAGCTGGATCCACAAAGAATATATATCAGTTTTACGGAATTTCAAAATTTGTTGTGAAAGGGGGAAGGTGTTATAAAAGTTTTCAAGTTTTTGGGGGGCGACATAACGATTCTATAGCTCGAATTTTTGGTTTCTCCCACTGAATGACATGGAAACGCTTTGACGTAAATGTAATGGAATTTTTTATGAGTGGTTTGTATATTTAACTTCCAAGTAAGTTTCTCCATTTTGCTTTTCGCTAAAAGTGAATCACTTTTAATTTATGATAGTGCGTCCATCGTGACTTGGCCGCAAGAAACGTCCTTGTTGGAGAAGATTACGTCATGAAGATCGCTGACTTTGGTCTAGCACGTGATATTTACAAATCCGATCTGTATGTCAAAGAGACAACAGGGCTGTTGCCTCTAAAATGGATGGCTCCTGAGTCACTTTTTGATCGAGTTTATACTCTAAAAACGGACATGTAAGTCTTACTCCTTAATATATGAATATGAGGACCACATGGCACTATGATAGACACGATATAGAAATGAAAGAAAATAATTATAATCCCGGCGAGGTCGGAAATTAATTTTTTCTATTTTATTCCTAAGGCCGGGTCTTTCTCCCGGAATTGCCTCCTTCTAAGCACTATAACTTTCTTAGATTTCTATATCGTTACTCCTTGATTATTCATGCAGTAGCCACGCCCAGCACCCCGTCACCACCCCAGTATAACAGACTAGAAGACTAAACAGTACAGCTTTTCAATGTTGCTTAAAGTGAAATCAGGCTCAGCTTTTGGCTCTTATGTTTTGTTTAAGGAAAAGAGTACTTGTATTGGTAGGTGAGGCATTTTATATCTTATAGAGTGCAAACACAGTGTAAACACTCTAAATATACAGAGTGCGATATTTCATCGCTTAC